CTCAGCTTTTGCTGTAGTTTTTGAGGATGGGTCTCAGCTGCTGGTCTGTGCTTGTGTTGCCTGGGGATGGATGTCTGCTCCCCAGCCTCTGTTGCTGGGGGTATATCTCGACTGTGATCGGGTTGCTACTATGGGGGATGGTGCTGGGCTCTGAGCTGTTTGTAGCTTCCGTGACCGGCACCTTGGGAGCTCCACTACTGTGCACTGGTCTGTGTTGACACAGAGTGTCCACTGGTCCGATGGTGCCAGGTATGCTGGTGGGCTCAGGTTGCTGGGCCCCAGACACTCCCACTGCCTCCTCCCAGGGAAGACCTGGGATCTTCCAAAATGGTGGGACTTCCCCACAGTGCAGGGAGAAGCACCCTAAAGTGCTGCTCACCGCGTAGCCCGCTGCTCTGCCCACAGCACAGGGACCTTCTGCTCCGCGGCTCTGCACTGCTCGGGTTTGGTCGTCCACCTTCACGTCCACTCACACTCTCTCACACACTCGCTCACTCTGTCACACTCACCCTCCCTCCCGTCCTGCCCGCCGCCATCTCCCCTCCTAAATGAAAACACTTTTTCCGGTTAGGTATTTTTGCTCAAATCATGAAACACAGGAAATGCCCAATTACAAATTGGGTCAAAACAAATTTTATCAAACTATTTTGATAAATGGCAAAAATACATGTTTTAAACATATGTAAAAAAATTCGAGATCTTTTTGCAGATTTACATTTTTAGTTTTAAAAATTTAAGCTATTAGAAATATTATAAATACTATGAAACACGAATATTCATATAATCTATTCTGAATTGCAAACCAAACCAAAAGAGAGCATTTAATCTAAAGATTACTAACATCATCTGGCACAACTATTAAGTCCACCTACAGTTAAAATAATTTGCAGGGTTCTATATTAAATTTTTATGATGAAATCAAGAGATTTTATGAAAATATTACAGCTAAGAGGTAAACTCTTCTAATGAAAAAATAGTTTTATTTCATTAGAAACGATCCTTTGGTGTGAAATCACTTGAGAGTATACATGATAGATTAAAAATTGTACATCTCTCTGATTTGTAGAATAAAAAAATAAAAATTTAAATGTTACATAAGAATGCAGAAGCAAGTAAAAGTATTATCCTAAACAACTCTGTGTAAAGGGGAAAACCAGAACTACAATTACTCAAGAAAAATAATAAGAAGAATGAGAACTTATAGATCATGACAAGGTTCAGAGAGAAATTAATTATTTTAAATGGTTTTATTATTCAACCTAGAAAAACAAAAATTAAGTAAAAACTCAAGAGGTTAAAAAAATAACAAATACATTGTAAGGACAGCAGAGGAAAAGAATTAATAAAGATAAACTCAGCAATTAGTGAATAAGGAAACATAAAATTCTGAGAGCTGTGTGTTTTGTTTTGTTTTTTAAATACATTAACTCAGAAACCACTACCACTATCAAGAACAAAAGTTAAGAAAATAATTGATAAACTTAGAAACACAAAACCAAATATTATCACAGGTACAGGTGAGGTATTTTCATTGTATACTGGAATGACATGTTTAAATCCATGCTAATTAATTCTGAATTCTGAATGAAACAGAATTTGTTCTTAGGAATATATATATTGGCCAAATAGTTGTGAGAATAAAACAGGTGAAAAGATTAACAACCTTATGGAAAAAGAAAAGGTCAAAGTTCTTATAAAAAGGCTTTGAGGTCACAACAAAATCCTTAAATTTAACAAAGAAGATAAATCTCAAGACTATATTCTTATGAATGATATAAAGTAATTGAATGCTGGGGAGTTTATTTTTTATCAGGCTAGCGTAATTCTATTACATAAACCCATGGAGATCATAAACAACAAGAAGGCAAACAAAAACAGGCTTTTGATGAATTTGGAACTAAAAGGAGAGAAACAGTATTTTACTATTCCCTGCTCTATTTCCAGTTTTAATATGTGTTTCATCAGTAAATGAGTGCAAGGGGAAATTTTTAAGAATGCTAACGAAACAAATCTAGTTCTATATGTATAGATATAATAAGATATCAGGCAAAATGGATATGGTCCAGCCTGCAAAGGTAAATACAATTCAATATAGTAACTGAACATAAGGTTTTTAAAAGGGCAATTAAAAAATTTAACACCCTTTCTCCATCAATATAAAAGAAACTAAATAAAATTTTAATATTCTAAGTATAGAAAAATAAAATATTTATTCGATATGACTAAAAATATTATCTCATAAAATAGAAAAGATGCCATATATTATTACTCTTTTAAAACATACTAGAAATTCCAGTCAAAGAAATAGTGGAAGAAAAATCATACATAATGTACAAATAGAGCAGATACCATTCTCATTATTTTCTTGTGACACAATATGTGACTTGGAAAATTCATCTTAGTATTAACAAGAATCAATCTATCAAGCTATTAGATATGAAATAAATTGAAATTATTCAATAGGAAATTTAGCTACAGAATATAGTTGGAAGTGAAGGTCATGGATTAAACTTGGTTTGGGATATGATGAGTTTACATTATTTGGATGATAGATGTGCTCATTAAACTGCCAAGAACACAGGGCTGGTGTTCAAAAGATGAATAGTTCTAGACTAGCCCTTAGCTCACGACTTGGCGAAAGTGAAGTTCTCAATGATTGTTTGTTGAATAAATGAAACAAACCCATTAATAAGAGAAAATAAAGAAAACTTGAATAATAACCAAGATAAGGCTAGACCACAGAAGCAAACACATACACACATGTACGCATGTCCATACATACATACATATACACATACATACGGGAATGGGCCGTGTTCTGCCAGGAGTTAACCAGCATAAACCTGGAGCACCGTTCACTTCTTTGCCAGAAGGCTGCTCTGAGTTCGAGATAAGCAACGCTGACTGAGAGGTGCAGACGGGGCAGCATGGGGAGAGTCTGGGGATGAGGAGGAGGCAAGGAGCGCACAGTGCTTTTCATTTTTTATTTTATTTATTTATTTATTTATTTTATCCTCACCCCAGGACATTTTTCCATCCTCTGTTCAGATAGAGTGGGAGGGAGAGAGAGAGACACATGGATGTGATAGGGACACATCGAGTGGCTGCCACCCGCACGACCAACCAGGGCCGGGGACAAACAGCAACCGAGGTACATGCCCTTAGCGGGAACAGAACCGGGTCTCTCGGGACCGCAGGCCAGCACTCCAACCGCTGAGCCAAACCGGCCAGGCGTACAGTGCTTTTTAAAACGCATCCTCTCGTGTGGAGCTAAAGCCAATCAGAAAGCTGCTGCATCTCAGCCACAGATGCGGGTTCTCAGAGGCGGGAAATATCTCACCGCCCTTTGTCCTCAGCACCGCACAGACAGCTTACTGTTCACACGGCTGAATTCTTTCTCTCCTTCTCATCTTACTAGAAATGGACAAGGTAGTATGAACCTCCTCTTCAATTTATGTCCTAATTTCTTGATAATATAGTAAACTTACTGGGTTTAAAATTCAAATGTACAAAAAGGTGATCAATCCTTCCCACACCTTCCCAAAGAATCTCATGCTATCAGATTCTTCTCTTCCCAGAGATAGTTTCTGCATATATAAGCAGATAAGTTTATATTTTACCCAAATGGTAGAAGCATACTTTTACCTGTGAACAGATATTGACCAAACTAGCGAGATCGACTTCGACTAGGTTATCTGACTATGCAACTGGAAAGCGGCCTGGCGGTGGCTGAAATGGATGTTTTCGGACACTCAGCACACGGGCCAGGCCTTTTGAAGAGTTACCTAAGAGCCATGTGTATGCCCTCATTTATGCAATACATCCGGGACTGCAAAAGTTGAATGCAATTTTATAATTACTTATAAGATATATTACATCAATTTCTGATTAATCTTCATTCTCTGACACTTAATATATTAGTTTGCAGTCTCAATAAATAATCATTTGCTTATATAATGAGATTTTGGTTATTAACTTGTATTTAAAACAGAGGATACTTAAAGAACTTCTCAAAATATATTTTAAAAAAGCAAATATGCATCCTTATATCGTGTTTTGAATACGAAGTTTTCATACAGTTGTGCTCGTGTGATAGGTGTATTGTTTAGTGATTATGTGTAAATGTTTCGTCACTGAACCTTTGCCACATAAAATGAACTAAAGGCGTTAAAGCACAGTATGTCGTCGTCAGTATTTCCCTTTTTAGTAATTATTTTGTATTTCTAAATACAAGAGCCATGAGTAGTTTGTTCACTTTTCAACATAACTTCCAGGTGCTTGCAGAGTGTTATGTAAATCACAGCACTTTATTAATCTGTGTTAGATCTATTATAGAAAATTAACGTTTTGAAACAAAGAAAATAGCAATCTGCTTGAAGGAAGAGCCAGAGTATAATACCCTTGAATAATAGAAAAGAATAAGAAGGTCTAAAGCTATATTCTAAAAGTACAGGGTACCAACTGTTTGACCATCGTTAGAAGAACACCACAACACGCGTTTTGCATGGTACATACAAAGCTGTGGCTTTCCGCCCCACCGATCTATTACTCGTGTCGAGAAAGGATTATCACATTAACACAGCTGACATGATGCATATGATAAACACAATGAACCCCTATAACAAATTATGCTCCATATTGTGAAATACGAATGTTTTAGAGCACACACGACTTGCACACAAAAAATGTGATTAAAGAACCCAAATCCTTCTATCCACTGCACTGAACCCCTAAAGCAATCGAGGAATTTGTTTCTTACAGACAATTAATCACATGCAGGCGTGCCAGATGAGAACTATCGACTGCCCTTTTCCAGGCTTGTGGCATTCAGACAGCAGACAGACAAATGCCCCAAGCATGGAGAAGCCTCTTTCTGCTTCTGCCTGCTGTAGCTTTTAATTGTTCTTTCCTAAAATGTGTGACATTTTGCTGTTAATCTCTACTGTGGAGCTCACTCCTTTTTCTTTGAACAATAAGCATGCATTTTGTCTTTCATTTACCTTCACACCAAGGTCCTTCATAAGCTCAATCTCAAAATTTACTACGTCATACGGCAGCCGGAACTGAGGGATTTCAGAAGTACTAAAAAAAAAAAAAAAAAAAAAAAGCATTTGTTGAAAAATCACCAGTCTTAAAAATGCAACATGTCTGTCTGATCAATATTAAAGGATGAAGTATCTTGTCTAAGGGTATTTTCATATCACATAATATGAAGTTAATGAGGACATCACATTTTCATATGCATGATAAACTACTCTATGGACTACAGCAGAAAGAGTAGAAACTGATGTGAAAATAAATGTGAACAATGGAAAACTAATAAGTAGACAACTGGTCAAAAGTATTTCTAAAACTATTAAGTTTATTATCTACTAATAATTATATAAGAAATTCCTAAGTAAACGCAATCTTAAATACCAAAAATTCATTGAAAGTACAGATAATGTTGACTATCATTCGACCTAAATTCAGGGCCTTTATACTCACTTGGATGACTAACAGGTATCTCAGATTTATCATACCCCAAACAAAACTTCAGTTCTGTACCCCAACACTGGTCCTCAGACAACTGCCTTGTATGAGTTAAGCCCCAAACTCCACCATCATACTCCAATCTTCATCAGTGTCATACCAAGTCCAGGATCAGGCAATGAGAAATGTATTGTTTTAAGACTATTTTAAAACAGTTACAAAAATGACTAGAATAAGCCCATTTTGTATTTTTGTATGATCACCATCAGCTCATAGCTCTAAACAATGTCAGTGCTATTCTAAACATGGTTCACCCTCACCCCCCAATAAATCTTTGGTAGATCTAAATTCTGAATAATTGCTATGGCTGCTACAGAATTTTAGTAGTATGCTTATAAGTATTAAATGATTCCACTTTTATCACCCATTATTTAAAAAACACTGAGTTCTACGAGGACGTTAACGTGAAAAACCCCAGTCAGAGTGTCCACGGGCGCAGGGAGATTGAGCATTGCTCATTCCAGTCCGGTAGGCAGCACCCATCCAACCCCTGTGGTGCTCCGTAGCCAATGCTGAAACAGTGGATTTGGAACTGATACAATGGTAGCATATGAAGCAATATGAGTTACTTCAATTCTGTAATCTTGTGCAACTACACGTTTTAATTTGCTTAAAGTTTAAAATAGCGAAACAGTGTAAACTATATATTTAATATTGAATTTACTTTGCTCCAAAGGAATGATTCAAAGTAACTATTATTACTGAATATTATATGATTCTTATTGTAAGTAACTTTATTGTACAGACTAGAGGATAAGCATGTTAAAAAAGAAATAATGACAACAATGCTGGGGGGTGCGGGATTGGGAGGAGGGTGTCAATGGGGAAAAAAGGAGAAACAGCTATAACAAAAATAAATGAATAATAAAGAAAGAATGAGCCTTGCCCAGTTTTGTTCAGTGGTCAGAGCATCAGCCTGTGGACCAAAGAGTCACAGGTTCAATTCCAGTAAAGGGCAGTACCTCAGACGCCATTTGGTCCCCAGCCCTGGTCAGGGTCATGTGGAGGCAGCCAATCATTGTGTCTCTCTCACATCGATGTTTCTCTTTCTCTCCCTCCCACTCAGGGGAGGATTTTAAAAAAAGAAGAAATAATGGACTCCAGACTCCAAATATACAAGGGACAACCAGGACACTGCTGACTTTTAACACACCCTCTCCACAGTGCATGTATCATTCCTTGACATATTCTGTGTTTGGTTTTGTGTCTGCCTCCCCGTCACTAGAGTGTAAGCCCCTTGAGAACAGGGACTTTGATTTGTCCACTCTTGTAGCTCTAGTGCCTGAGATGTGAGCAGCCATTGTAGGAAATCAATAAATACTGAAGGAAGGACAGAAAGAAGGAAGAAAGGAAGGGAGGGTGGGGAAAAGATAGGTACATATCAAGTCATAGAAGGCGTTCTGAGTCAAGCCCAGTCTTCTCTCTTAGGTTATAGGAAGTTACAAAGAGATTTCAAGTAAAGAGTGATATACTCAGATCTGAAAACTACAAGGAAAATGAATTTGAAAAGTAAAAAGAACCAGGTGGAGGTTCCTGCAGTGGTATAAGGGTGAGACGTCACAGGCATCCGAGATAGTGTGAGAACTTTTTCCCAAGTTCACAAATACAAGCTGTGCCCGGGGGCGGGGGTTTGGAGGGTGGGGGGGTGGAGCGCGCATGCGTGCGTGCAGAGCGCAGTCTTCCCGCCTGCGGCAATTCCAGCGACGCCCGCCGGGGGCGCACCTCCGGAGGAGGAGCGAATTGGTAGGGTGACCTATGTAGAGACGTCCAGGATCTAAATGTTGAAGGGGACAGAGAGGCCAGGCCAGATGGAGATTTTAAACAATGCTCCCACAGGGGTCCTGGGAGCCATGGCAGTAAGTGAGATTCCCCTCACAACTGCATGGCGAGGGAGGGAGGACAGAGCTGGGGTCTGATCGGACTGCTCCCTTCCCAAGTGCGTCCTGCTTCCAGAAACTCTTTCAGCCCTGGCAGGGTACTGAGCGGTCAGAGCAGCAGCCCGTGGACCAGTCGGTTGCGGGTCAAGGGCATGTACCTAGGTTGTGGTTCATCCCCGGCCCTGGTGGGGTCATGTGGGGGGCAGCCCCTGGATGTGGCCCTCTCACGTGGATATCCCCCCCCCCCCACCTCGTACTCTAATGATAAATAGAAAAATATCCTCGGGTGAGGAATAAAAAAAAAAGAAAAAAAAAAAAACACTTTCATTCTTCTATCTGTGCTCTTCTAACAATTTAAAGTTTTGAAAGAAATTTTTCTTAATGCAGCCGTATATCTGTTAGTACAGTCAACAGCATGCCAATAACACGGATAAAGAATACTCATGTTTCTTTACACACGTGTCTTCCAGGGAACGAGATGGGCCTGTGACAGTCCCCTGCCGCCCTTCCTGAGCACCGCTCTCACGCTGACACAGCTCTGCTTCCTCTTCTTCCCGCACAGGCACCGCACTGGAAACGCATGTTCTCGAAATATTCCCTATCGCTGTAACAATTTCACTTAAACCTCATTCCTCCTTCTTGCCAAGTAATGTGAAATTCAGCAGACATATAAAAACACTGCCGTACCCTACCTGACACCGTGTCATAACTTATGGGCAATGGTTTTTATAAGTAAAGGACAAAATCAGAAAGTACACGTATGCATGAATACTTAAAGCCTGCCAACACCATCTTTATCTTTGTCATTATAATATCAAACTCTTTAACGCTTTTAAACTCATGCCCTTAGAAAAAGAATCCACAGTTGGGGGAAAGCAAAACTAGTGATTATTTTATAAAGTTGTCAGAGCATCAAAAATAATCAATCAGTATGTTCAATACAATAGGGATTAAGTCCTGGGTCTCTTTCACCAACCCTAGTGATTTTGTAAAAAGTAGCTGGGATCTCAATTTACCAGGGATAAAAGAATCTATTGGGATGAAAAGGGAGAGGAGAGATAAAAGCTGTCATCGCCTCTTTAAGCAATTGATTTCAAATACAAAGCTAATTTAATCTTTTTTAGCCACTTTGAAGGTACAAGAAAATGAGAGACATCTGTAAGTAAGAAGATAAATTAACAGAGAAGTACTGAGGTTGTAATTCCGGCTGAATTCCAGTGTCAGTATTTATAATCTTGGAACAGCAACATGTAATGCCTCTACCATGGCAGGGTCCAAAGGAGACCGATTAAACGCTTTACACTATCCCTAGGTACTGGGAAGATTCAAAGGTGAAGGAAAGAAAATAAATCAGAAGAGAATTTTAAAAGTATACTGTTTGTTCATTAATCCAGGGAAATCTGTCCTCCTAGAAAATATTCAGCAAATATATGAAAATACAAGTTTAGTGCCAATTTGTATGATTTAGAAATGTCTACCCTGCATTGATTTAAAAGAGAGTAGTTGACAACCATAATAATCTACCAAAGTTGTCAACACAGAATAATTCACAAACAGGCTTCTTGTGCAAATGTAATTAGGGGCAAAAAGATTTTTCCTAGTCTACTAGGGAATGCAACAATTACATTCATATTTTTTAAATTAGCTCATATAGTCATTGATGTGTATAATTGAAAAAATGCAATGCTTATACATATCTTGCTAATACGTTATGTTGCTCCTAATTAATAAAGCCACAGTAAAATGCCATTATAAAAGATAGTCTAATGAATTCCAGCAAAATAATACATTGGGTATTTTACTTTCCAGGATAAATAAATGTATAAAATATATATAATCCCTTTAGGCTCATGGTGGTGAAGTGTCAATATAGAAAAATAATTATTTATTAACAATCAGGTTATTTTTTCTTCAGTTTCTGCTTCATACCAACTTTTATGGGTCCTCCTATTATGTAATATTTTTGCTTGACAATTCAGTCAAATAGTTTTATACTAATAGTTTAAAAACTATTAAAAAATAGTTTTACCCTTGTTTTAGCATATTATTTGATCAATATTGAAATTTATACATTTATTGACATACATTTTTTGATATCATAAAACATTAAAAGCAAACACAAATTTTAGCCATAACTTGATTAAATGTATTCTTTGTGATTATTAAATTTGAAAAATGTGTTAATAAAAACATTTCAATAGCCATCAAAATTTAGATGCTAAGTATAGCAACAGGTATGCAAAATGGCTTTATTATATAACCCATGATTTTCTGATGCAACATAAGACACTTAAAAAAACAACAATAAGTTGAGTAGTATTATTAACTTATACCCAAATACTTTATCATCTTACACCAAATGCTGTAGGTAGCACTTACTGCCCACTCATAACACATTTTATTTCTTTATGATCACAGATGTAGTCTATGCTCATGATAGATCCCATGTATTTTACACAAAGTAAACTCCATCCAGTTTCTAGGCTTGGCTTGAATATCTGAAAGTCACTGATAAAAAGTGGACATTTTCTATTTCGATCTATTATTCTTCATGGAAATAAAAGACCATGGGACTGAATCTTGGTACATAACAATCATACTGGTTACTATCAAACACTATTTTTTTAAAATTTATGGTATTTATGAGATAAACTGCATGAATGTATATTAAAATGAAACATTTTTAGCCCTGGCCAGTTTGGCTCAGCGGTTAGAGCGTCCGCCTGCGGTCCGGAGAGACCCGGGTTCGGTTCCCGCTAAGGGCATGTACCTCGGTTGCAGTTTGTCCCTGGCCCTGGTTGGTCGTGCAGGTGGCAGCCACTCAATGTGTCCCTTTCACATCGATGTTTCCCTCTCTCTCTCTTCTTCTCTCTCCCTCTCTCTCCCTCCCACTCTGTCTGTACAAAAAATGGAAAAATGTCCTCGGGTGAGGATAAAAAAAAAAAAAATGAAACATTTTTAGAAGAACCTAACCTATTCAAATGCAAAACTTAAGAGACTAAACTGAAACTCTGTGAGCAGGGCACTATGTCTGTTACATGGCAAAGTGAATCACCCGGTATTCCATGAATCAGGCTTCCCCATCTCCACGTCCCATCATTTCCATCATCTCCAATGAGGAAAGATTCACAGGGATGAAATAAGTGTTCATATGATTGGTTCTTCTAGCCATAAAATATTTTGATGAGATTTCTCTTAAATTCACAGAATGAGACAGAATTTAAAAATAAATATTGTTCAAAGCCAACTGAAAGTTCAAACTGAATAACATAATTAAAATCTGATCATTTGGAAAAAGAACATTTAAAACACCATCTGTAGTTCCTATATGATTATGAACCAGCAATATTTGTAACAGGTTTACCCCATGATTTTTGATACCTTAAACAGGAAACAAAGGTAGGTCTTACCTTAAACCCCCAACGTATTCTTGTTTTTCAAATATAGTGATGTCGGAGTAGCCCAATCGAGCCAAAAAGGAAGCACAACTTATGCTGGCAGGCCCGGCCCCGAGAAGAGCAATCCTGGCCGAGTAGGCTGGGGGCATGTCTCCGGGGGGCGGCAGACACGGGTCCCTGATCTGTGGTATGCTCATGGCTTTGAACACCTGTGGAGAAACCAGTGGCCATGGTGACAGTTTTTAAGGGAAGTTTTATATCCTCAAACACTTGTTTAATGTTTCAAATGCATTTGTGTTTTTAACAGAAATAAGCAGTACATTTTCTTAGACGTTGTATTGGGTCAAGTAGGTGACGAGTTACACTGACCAGCTCCTTCTCAATCTTTGCAGTTCTTTTCCAGGGTCAGCCCTCCGATGGGGTGCATTCCTGGCTCACAGCCTCACACCCACCTCCAGGCTGAGTTAAGGCGCTTCCTCTGAGCTTCTGTGAGCAGACTTCGTCTGCCCACGGTGTAACCACCTACCAACATATCTGTGCCATGCTTCCATGTCAGCCAGCAGGTGCTCATTCCTCGAGTCAGAGGATGCATGTATAAAGGTACACGTACATATAACTTAATAAACTCTATGTTTTAGGTGTGTTTTGAAAAAAACATGTTACCATCATACTGCCAGTAGTCAGCACTAACGTGGCACCCAGTACACATTCAGTAAATCATTTGGTAACATGTGCTTCTCATTATGACAGACCAGCTTTCAAAGGATGGCCTTTCAGAAATCTGTCTGAAGCATGAAGAGAGCTCCCGGAGTAAGCCAGACTAGCGTGGCCAAGACCCCGGAGAGAGAACAGCAGAGACAGTCCCAGAGTTACTTCTACCCCAAGGAAATCAGCCACGTACTAGCACATGGAGAAAGGCTAAGAGACATGTAGGGAACACAGCTCAGAGGACACAGCAAGAAGATTTAGGCAACCTTGGACTCTAAGTACTCATGGTTTTAGGAATGTAAGAAGCCAGAAACTGGAAGCAGAAGAAAGTACAGAAAAGTGAGCTTAATTCTTAAATTGCGTAGGACAAAAGGCTAAAAATTTAAATAGAAAATTTCTGTAAAGCAGAGGGGAGCTTTCTGCATGCTGATGGTCCAGAGGAAACAAATAAAAAGGAAACACAGGAGTAGCAAAAGGTGAAGCTTAGTTATTTACTAAGCACCCTGCTGGGACTTGTCGAGGGCTACACTCTACCAGTGGGAAAACCAGAGGTAGACAAGGCACCCAGCCAGAGTCAGTTCAGTCATTTTGAATGAAGGTGAGTAGCCCTTACTGGTTTTTGATCAAAAATCCTAGGTTTGCTAACAACTAAAAACTGAAATCGTCCAAGAATTATGAAAATAGAATGAGATGCATATAGAGTATAATAAGTATAGTTATCAAACACAGACTTTAGAAAAACTATAATACCTATGATCAAAAAATACATAAGAATGTGAATTTTCCCAGGAAACTGAAATTTGTTAAAAAATAAAAACAAAATTTTAGAAGAAAATAAGTGCAAAGTTGAAGCTAAAATCTAAATAAATGTATTTAGCAACAGATTAGACAGGTAAGCAAACGAGAAGTACTGAGCTGAAGACGGGCCGTGAAATCTATCCAGGCCAAGCACGCACAGCAAGTGGTGAGAGAAATACAGGAAGGAACATGAGACACAAGGACAACCTAAACAGATCTGAGGTGTGCATAGCTGCCATCGCAAACGGACAGGAGAGAGAGAATAAGCAAAAGCAATATTTGAAGAGAAACAGACCAAGGATTTTTCCAAATTAATGAAAGACATCAAGGCACAAATTCAAGAAGTTTTAAAACCAAAACAAGGTCAAAATACAGAAATTCATTCACATCACAGTAAAACTGCTGTAAACCAAAGAAAACTGAAGCATTGAAAACAGCCTACTAATAAAGACACACTGCTGTCAGTGAGCAACAAAAAGTCCGGAGCATCCTCTCCAGAGGATGGATGCAAGTGAGAAGACAACAAAATGCTATTGTTTTGAGCAATGAAAGAAAATACCTTCCACCTAGAAGTCCATTCAGAAAGAACGTATCCTTCATATGTAAAGTTGAAATAAAGACATTTGCAGAAAAAAACGTGCTGGCATCAGTAAAAGAAATGCTGGGAAGTATACCCAATACGTACTCTCCCCTAATGAGAACAAGGCCACTACGCACCGAGCACACACTGTGTGCCTGGCTTTCTGCTGTCTGCCTCGATGATCTCACTCAGTCTCTGTCCCGATTTAAAGAAACAGTTATTATTTCCATTTCCAGTTCACATAGTAAGGTTTTATCTCAATGCTATTGGACTCCACAGCCTGAATTCTTAAACACTGTTGCTCTCAAATTTTTATAGTGATTTTCAGCAAGAAATTATTATATACATATATTATTTCAATAGGAGATGTATAACTTAAAAAAAGGTATTACATGCCTTTATCTTTCCTAAGCCATCTGATACACTTATAATAGCCAGTCTATTAACAACAAAGCTGGTTGTTACACTTAGTAAATTAAATCGAATTTACAAACAACCCATTGGTAATGATGTGTCTGAGAAACACTGCAGTCACCTCGGGTTTCCCACCATGCTCTTCTGTGACCTGAGAAGCTCCTCTCAGGCAGGAGGAGCATGGTCCAGTTGACTCCTGTGCCTAATGCTCCTGGTCTTCATTATCCCACAGGGTCAGCCTCCCCACAGCCCCTGGTTGCTATGCAGAGAGCCCAGCAGAGAGAGGCCCAAGTCCTCTCTTTTCTGCTGAGTATTTCTATACCATTTCTGGCCCCCAAAGGTTTCTATATTCCTTTTTACTTCAGCTATTAATTTTTATTGTGTGCTTGTTATATTTCTTTTATCATTATACTTGGGAGCAAAATGAGGGGTTTAAATCTTAACTCACAGCATCGTGCCTCTTGCATGCGATTCACACTGACACAGCATTATTGCTTTATACTACTATTCATAAAACATACTTATAAAAGTGCACACATTTTTAACTTGCTCAGACTCAAATCACTGAAAGTCCATTATTCAAAACTGCAAGGTGCTCACAAGAGAAAGTGTGTGTGTATATATATTTGGACTTACACAAACAAATTCAGGGGAAAAATAAACTCAACAGGAAATAATCCTAGCCACCATGCGATTTTGGCCAATTTCAAAGTTATTACCCCAAATCCCCAAAACTTTTTTTTAAAACTCGAGGTACAAATATATAGTTATAAAACAAACAAAAATATTGTGATGGAAATGTTCTAGCAATTCATTTGGTCCCACGATTTTATTATCCATCATTGTGCCAGCACTGAGTATTTTTAATAGATTTCTAAAGATTTCTAGAGAAAAATGTCAGATATTTAGTGAAATCTATCAAGACATCATTCCTTTCTATTAATCATCACATTAGATGAAAAGGATAGGCACAAATCATGCCTTAACAGATATTACTTGCATTTAGATCCCCGAGAGCAACATTTCACCAGGGTACACACTATTGATTTTATTACTGCGTAATGTATATCTTTCATGTACATCTCCTTTTTCCCAGAAATAATTCCTCTTTTTCTGTATGAACAGTATTCACAAACTACTGCTAATACTGTTTTGAAAACCTGGTACAGAGAGATTGTATTTAGAGATGAGGCAGCTTAGGGCCATTTGGCAAGTGTGAGGTGTCATTATTCTAACAGCTATCCTATAGCCCATGTCCTATGTCTCCCGTCGCCCATGCCCTATGTCTCCCGGAGCCCGTGCCCTATGTCTCCCGGAGCCCGTGCCCTATGTATCCCATCGCCCGTGCCCTATGTATCCCAGAGCCCAGAGCCCGTGCCCTATGTATCCCGGAGCCCATGCCCTATGTATCCCGGAGCCCGTGCCCTATGTATCCCGGAGCCCGTGCCCAGTGTATCCCGGAGCCCGTGCCCAATGTATCCCGGAGCCCGTGCCCAGTGTATCCCGGAGCCCGTGCCCAGTGTATTCCGGAGCCCGTGCCCAATGTCTCCCGTCGCCCGTGCCCTATGTCTCCCGTCGCCCGTGCCCTATGTCTCCCGTCGCCCGTGCCCTATGTCTCCCGGAGCCCGTGCCCAATGTATCCCGGAGCCCGTGCCCTATGTATCCCGGAGCCCGTGCCCAATGTATCCCGGAGCCCGTGCCCAATGTATCCCGGAGCCCGTGCCCAGTGTATCCCGGAGCCCGTGCCCAGTGTATTCCGGAGCCCGTGCCCAATGTCTCCCGTCGCCCGTGCCCTATGTCTCCCGTCGCCCGTGCCCTATGTCTCCCGGAGCCCGTGCCCTATGTCTCCCGGAGCCCGTGCCCAATGTATCCCGGAGCCCGTGCCCTATGTATCCCGGAGCCCGTGCCCTATGTATCCCGGAGCCCGTGCCCAGTGTATCCCGGAGCCCGTGCCCTGTGTATCCCGGAGCCCGTGCCCAGTGTATCCCGGAGCCCGTGCCCAATGTATCCCGGAGCCCGTGCCCTATGTCTCCCGTCGCCCGTGCCCTATGTCTCCCGGAGCCCGTGCCCTATGTCTCCCGTCGCCCGTGCCCTATGTCTCCCGGAGCCCGTGCCCTATGTATCCTGTAGCCCGTGCCCAATGTATCCCGGAGCCCGTGCCCTATGTCTCCCGTCGCCCGTGCCCTATGTATCCCGGAGCCCGTGCCCTATTTATAAGCGACCTGTAAAAGGCACGAGTGCTAAATACTGGTTATTGTCCATTATCATGGCCACACATCTGAGTTTCTGATCAGGTGCATGAACTGATAGATCTGCTCAATCAGTTTGTGCAACTGGATCACAAATATGCTAGACTCACTCCTGAATTTGCTTCTAGACCAGCTACCACAGAATCAGGCTCAGGCTTTCCAAAGTACAATAAAAGCTTAGCTATGTATAGCTTCAGCTTCAGAGTCCCTCAGCACACGGGCCCTTCCCAGGCCCTGTATTTACATTCCGCAGGAGTGCCTTGTGAGGTATTTCATAGAAGAAGCACAGAGCTCACCATCTCAGGCCCACAAAGCCTGCAACCTGGGTGCATGGCAACCCTCTGAAGGCCCGAAGGAAGAACTTTGAAAACCGTCTTGGTTTTGTGCATGTGCATGAACCAAGGACACGACTAAGCCCCTCTGTGTTCATCTTCCACAACCTCTGTCAAAGCAGCTGTGTCCTCGCTCATAGAAGCTGAGCAGTGACCTCTCGGGGCTGAAAGTATGGTGGCCCAGGACCTATGGCTGAGCCTCCAGCTGGACTACTGTGTGCCTGCAGCCAGGACACCTGGGTTCACACTGAGTTTTATCAGTGACTCGTGACATTCCCGGGCCAGTGGGGGTCTGTGACACCATGAAAGCAGAGCATTAGCTCTGTATTCCAGATCTGCCCTATTCCACATAAGCTTTTGGAAGTTAACAAACTTCTTGGAGGCTCTTGTAACATATACATAACATAGAGATGGCAGTATTTACCTGCACGGTTATTTTGAGGATGATCCAGTTTTAAGTACCTACCATCCTCCAGGGCAACAGGAGTTTGTTTAATGTTAACTATGATTTTTTTAGTCACTTTGATCCTGGGTTTCCTCATGTCCAAAATGGAAAAAACATCAGCGAGCTGACATGTCACAAAGGCTGATCACCCAAATTGTAAAGTGAGATTACACTAAAAGGCATGGAAGTCCTTTTCCAGTGGAGAGTACTACAACTGCGTTTCCCCCTGCCTGATCCTTTTCTTTGTACGAAGGTCTAATCACCTCCAAAACCAAGTGACAAAAATTAATGAAGATGGGATTATCAGTCCAAGGGGCTGATGTAAGCACATATGTCTAATTACCTTTGCTACAAAATTTTAGTAGTTGGCTTTTATTTCCTGAGAAACTACAATGTGTCTCAGGACCTGTAGTTTATAAGCAGCCTACAACACTTAGTTCTAATCGATGCTCAATCAATGTTTGTTTGATAAATTGAATCCTTACCTAGTGGAAGCTTATTACACGGGGTGCTCACACCAGCCCATCTGCCTGGGGTAGGTCTGGTTTGCACCTGCTGCACTGGGTTAATGATTAACAATGTCCTCTCCAAAGTGTCTATGAGTTTGATTATTTTACTTATATAGCAATCATCGCAACAAGCATACCAATTGGAGTATAGCCAATCTCACATTTCAGTGTATGTACAATTTTTTGATCATTGATTTTAATATAAGGACCACATACATTTTTGTCTCCACTTTCTATGATAGATGGAATATATCACATAAATACAGTATTTGAGAGAAGATATGTAATTATTTATTAGTAGACATGTTTCTATAATCTCCTTAAATATGCTTGTACGAGGCAAAAGTTGAAAGCTTTTAGTGACCTTCATGTTCCAAAAAGATACAGTAGAAATCGTATTCTATTACATTCATCACAGAATAACTTGAGTAAACATGTTCCTTCTTCATTCACAGCTCTTCAAACTGATTTTTGTAGCATGGAAGCAAAACATAAATGTTGGTATGATTTAAATAACTGTAAAATGTTCCTTATAGTCTCATAACACCTGGCTGTCTAAATTACAATAGAATATTTTTATTGTATTATAAGTACTGATAGAATTAATGTGTACTATGTTCATTAAGTAAAATATAGAAATTAAGTAAAATGTAGAAATAAATGAAAATAGTAAATGATGGTATATAAATAGTGTACAATGTTGGGACAAGAAGTGATTTAATCTGCAATTTCATGTGTCAGTTCCATACTTAACTAAAAATATAAAAACAAAACTAAAAGTACAATGTCAAGAAGTCTATGCCACACAGTGTATTTAATAAGTATTAAAATAAATAATCTCATAAAGTGTTTTATTGCAAAACACAAATTCTACTTTTAGATATAAATTTCGTAACCTAATGTATTCCTAAAAGTTCATAATTGAGACAGCAATTTTAATATCAATCCTCTGGCCCTCAATAATTTTAACACTTCAAGTCAAATGTTAGAGCCTTGGAATTTTATTTTTAATTTTTCTATATTGCCTCCATAATTCTTTAACATCACCAGAAGAAAACTGATTTGACATACAGCTAACTGTCTACTTCTAGTTATTTCCCAACCTTTGAAGCGCGTGGAAGGCCTGTTCGACGCCACGCTCCCTTCGCAGAGCACGTCAGTTACATCGGAGAGGCAGCGCGAGTCCAGTGGTGTTACACGTGATAAACACACGATTTCTTTAAAATTGAATGAAACACTCAAACACATTTTAAAACTAAAAATTCAAGGGTTACATTTGTGAAGAGAAATTTTAAAACCCTCCTGAGATTGATGAGAAAATCCAAACCAAATTATTAATAGTATTATTGCCCAGTTATCTTACTGAAGCAATACTGTTACACCTACTTGAACCAGGGACACTGCTTCCCAGAGGGTGGGAGTCACCGCAGCCTGTTGGTCTGACGGGCACACAAAGGTGTCTGCAGCCAGGTCGCCGCAGATGTCGAGCCAGCCAAGAACTGAACAATAATGACCATCAGGGACAAAACGCAGCTGGCCTCCCGATTCTCCTGAAGGCTCTCCTTTGTGTGACTTCTTTCTTTCTCCCACAGTCCCTCCAAACCACATCCCAGTTCAAATGGAAAAGTGTAAGGTATGGATTTCACCGAAAACAGCAGACTACGGAGTTGGTGTTTTAAAAAAATCACTTCTAACTTACAGGAAAAACAATTGCGAAAAATATCATACTATTTTAGTCTGCTTCCATAACCTTTACTTAATTTGGTTGAAAAATAGATTTTTGTTTCTTTAAAGGTCAAAAATCAATCACTGTTTTATCAAACCACCAAACAGAAAATTATTTGCATCATATTCTGTTCTGACTTAAGTACTTCTAGCATTAGTTCAGCAGTTTGAAAGAACGATACCGTATTTTGTACATTATAGTTTTCGTTTTCACTGGCAGTAAATTAGCATATTCTTGTGTGTGTTTTGCTTGTCTTCACAACTTTGACAGCTGGGTAAATTTCAGAGTACCACCCCTTGACTGAGAGAAGACAGAACTTTCTGGAATAACTTGCCCTAAGCAGTGAACTTAAAAGAATAAATGGAAAGCTGTTCTACATAGTTTTCCTGGGAGATTTTTATATATGATTTAATAGATATCTCTAAAGCCACAGTCACACAAAGTATAACTGGATGAAATCAGAAAAGATATTCCTATTCTAAATGCCATGCACTTAATGCCATCCTAATCTATGCTATGTCTTACGTAAATAGACTTTGCTTTGGAAAGGGGTAGTGGGAATTTCAATAACACCCAGTGCGAGTTCTCAGAGAAATGCTGTCTCTCTCTCTGTTCCCCCATCCAGGTCACTAAAACCTAACAATATTATTTTAATCCATTTTGTTTGGAAATGCAGTGCTAGTTCATATACATATCGTGTGAACTTTCACTTACTACACCCTTGCAAGCTTGTCCTGGTTTAATGAAGAAACGATGGGTCCCCAAAGGAAAAAGTGGGAGAATTCAAGTGAATCTTCTCCATCAATGAAGGATTTTCTTAGGTTGTAAAGATCATACCTTGCACTGGTCAGGTAAGCCTAATACAATTTTGAATTTGGTAAGAAAAGAAATTAAATCCTAGAATTTATTGCAACAACTCACAACCTCAAATTGTTTCTATTTTCTCATTCCCAGGAGCCCGTCCTTAGAATTAACCTGTCAGAAGGCAGGAGGGGAATAACCCTGATTTATTACCAAAAGCAGCACGAGACTTAAGCTTGGGGGATGTCATGGGAAGTGTCCTGAAAGGAGAGAACAGGTTGTGTTTAGTTGACAAAACCAGATAGGGAAGTCATTAACTAAAACTCTAGTGTGGACAGGCATTTAATTTGGCCTTTTAGAGAACTGGACCCCAAGGATTACAAAATCTTACTGCAATCTCTGTATAAGCTGATCATTTAAATGATACATGGGAACTGACCTGGTAGCCGACTCCAAAGAAGAGACCCCAGAGAGCAGAAGATATACCAGAGAATCAAAGTCATTTACAAAGGATTCATAAGAGAGAAAGCCATGGCCCAGACTTACAAGATATATAGTGAAAAATGCTTTTATTTTTATTCAATTATGTGTTTGTATCCAAATAACATACCTACTTCAAATCTATCAGTTTACAAAATCTAATGTTAATGAATATTATTCAGTTTTGAGGTATTTGAAAATTCTCTAACCTCTATTACTCACAAAACATTACAAAATAATACTGACGTGTTATTTCAAGCTGTAAAGATGAAAGAGTTTCAGGGAGAAGAATCAGTTAAGCAAGATGGACTACATGATGGGTCCACTCGAAACCCTCCAGTGTAAAGTTAATGAATACATTCTATTTTCAGATCCTCTAATATATGCAACTTTCAGTCAAAGTATTTTAATAACCTTCTGGGATTGCAATTAGTTTGACATATGGTTTTATACATTTTCACTTATTTATAGTCAAGTTGTAGAATAAAAATACTGTTTATGACACAAAACACATACAGTCTAGTTGTGCTATCACACTAAGCATGCTGGATATCAACAAAGCACTGAGGATCGAAGTTACTTTGACATTTCTATGCTATAAGGGGAAACACATGGCAATCATCTCACCTCAGCAGCAAACTGTTGCAGTCCACCGATATTAATCGGTCCCTCTTCAGTGGCACAGAGATTGCACCCGCCCACGCAGAGATCGGAGGTTGGACACACCATCCCACAGGTCAGACCTAGGGGGTTGTCTGAAAAAATCACCTTCGCAGCTCCATAATAGTTCTGCCAAAATAAAATAAAATTTTATTATGTAACGACGTACCTTAAACACTCAAACTATGACCTAATTTTTTCTGTTAGGTAATTGGTTTGAAGATCATTACATAAAAGATGCAAAATTACCATACTGTTTACCATCAGGAATCATCAAGCGAGTGTCTAGCAGAGTGTCTAGCATCTAGGAGTATTCAATATATGACATATGAATAAATGAACAATTAATCAATTTTGCAAAATTGAAATTTAAAATATAAATGCTCTGTAATAGTTTTCTTCACAAGGCATCTAACTATATCTTTCCATTAATTCTTTTCATTTTTAAGAGAAGTACATGAGCTAAATTGCTAGAACAAGCTTAAAACCTAAATCTTAACTTAAAAAACAAACAAGCAAAAAACAAAAACAAAAAAATGGTTCCACTTAGGTTATCCTCCATTTAACTACGCTGGAAGCAGTCAGGGCCCTCTTATCTTCATTTCATCTGACTTGTCCAGAGACACTCTGCATTATGAACTCTGTGCTGACTGTCATCCTTCGGTAACATACTAGTAACCAAAGACACAGACAACACTTATCACAGAGGTGCTCCTGGACCAGACCTTGCCAGGTTCAACTCTTACCACTCCCTTCCATGCATCTGACGGTTACAGAAATGCTCAGAATCCATCTCTTTTTATCCAGAGGTTATGGAACCAAACTTGTCCAGAAATTGTACAATTATATAGTTATTTACTAAATAAAGAATGAATAATAAGTTGAATATTTCAGGACTATTTCTTCCTCTAATCAAAATTAAGATTTAGCCCTGGCTAGGGTGGCTCAGTTGCTTGGAGCATCGCCCCATGCACCCAAGGGTCTCAGGCTTGATTCCTAACCAGGACATATATGTAGGTTGCAGGGATCCCTGGTCAGGGCACATACAGGAGGCAACCGATGGATGTTTCGCTCTCACATCAATGCTTCTCTCTTTCTCCCTCTTCTGTCCTCTCTTTCTAAAAATTAATTAAAACATACCATCAGATGAGGATTTTTTTTAAAGTAAGATTTAGATCTGACCAGTAACTCTCAAAACTGTCAAATACATCAAAAATAAGGATACTTTGATAAACTATATCACTTAAGAGAACTCTAAGGAGATAAGAGAACTAAATGTAGTATGTTATTCTGGACAGAATCCTATATCAGAAAAAGGGAATTGTGTAAAAACTAAGAAAATCTGAAGAAAGTATAGACTTATTTAATAATAATGTATAAATAATGGTTTCATTAATTGTAGCAAATCAGCTGTAATGTCAATGTTAATAAAAGGAAAAACTGTATCCAGGTGTATAGGAGAATTCTCTGTACTATCTTTATAATTTTTCTGTAAATATAAAACTGCTCTAGCCCTGGCCGGTTTGGCTCAGCGGTTAGAGCGTCAGCCTGCGGTCCTGAGAGACCCGGGTTCGGTTCCCGCTAAGGGCATGTACCTCGGTTGCAGTTTGTCTCCGGCCCTGGTCGGTTGTGCGGGTGGCAGCCACTCGATGTGTCCCTTTCACATCGATGTTTCTCTCTCTCTCTCTCTGTTCCTCTCTCTCCCTCCCACTCTACCTGAACAAAAAATGAAAAAATGTCCTCCGGTGAGGATTAAAAAAAAAAAAAAAAAAAAAAACTGCTCTAAAACTACATGTAACAAGAGATGGTAGAATGTACTTAACAATATGAAGAAAATGCATTTATTTTATATTTGGTTTTGTTTAAAACAGTTGTGAAGGTCTTTGAAAACACACACTTTGCTTCCATAAATAACCTCAATGATAAATACAAATGATTAGAGACTGTAGAACATTCATGATGATAAACAACAATAGCCTTTTCTATTTATTGACTCTGGTACATTCCCAGCACTTGCCATGCCTTTCTTTACTTCTTCTTTTTTTTTTTTTATCCTCACCCGAGGACATTTTTCCATTTTTTGTTCAGATAGAGTGGGAGGGGGAAAGAGAGAGAGAGAGAGAGAGAAACATCGATGTGAAAGGGACACATCGAGTGGTTGCCACCCGCACAACCGACCAGGGCCGGGGACAAACTGCAACCGAGGTACGCGCCCTTAGTGGGAACCGAACCCAGGTCTCTCTGGACCACAGGCTGACGCTCTAACAACTGAGCCAAACCGGCCAGGGCTTTACTCATTCTTTATTACCAATGATCATAGGTAAGATGTCCAGCACTCAATCAAAAATGTTAGGCATGCCTCCTAATCAGAGAAAAAATAAGTAAATGAGAATGACCCACAGGTGATCCAGAAATTGAAGTTAACAGAAAAAATACTTTAAAATAATCTTTATGAAAATTCAGGCAAACAAAATAGATGAAATAATTAAAAACATAACCAGAATATTATAATCTAAAAGAATCAAACTGACATTATAAAGCAGAATAGCACATTTAAAAATAGATGTTAATGCATAGTTTTAACAACTTTCATGATTATTTAACTGCATTTGTCATATTCAAGTGTCTCCTTAGCAACCAACAGTCATGTCTGACACATAAGAATGGTTCTTCAATACATATTTCTGAATACATAGGAGGAATGTGTTATGAAATTAAACTTATAAACAAGGTGACCCAAGTAGAAAGGTTAGATAATTTGTCAAAGGATCGCACAGCCTATGACTGGCAGAGCTGAAGTCCACAGCCCTACTTCTGACCTCCACAGGACCAAGGCACATGCCAAAACTAAAGCATGCACTTACTTACTCAGTAGATCATAAAATATACTGTATTTAGCTATATTCTAAAGTTATAAAATAATACTACATAGTTATAGTATTAGTCAGCTATAATACATATCTTGATGTCCAACACACACACACACCTCTTTTTGATATAAATAAGAGAACATGCAGCTAGCTCCTTAGACTATGCTTTATACTTTATTAGGTGATTTTTGCTTATAGAGTTCCTTTTCGTTGTTGTTGTTGACAGTATTACCGATGTCCCCCATTCCACCCCCTTGGCCCCCTGCACCCAGCCCCTGCCCTCCCTTCACCACAGTGCTGTGTCTATGGCTACGCATATATTCATCCATGTTCTCTGGCTAATCTCTTCCAGTCCCCCACACCCCTAATCAGTACCATAGAAAGTTACTACAAGGTAAAAGTCTTTTTTTCTTAATTTAAGAGATTAAGATCTATTTATTATCCAAATTTGGTCATATTTTCCATTCTCTTTGTTATATCTTCATTAATGTCACTAATAGGCACCAATAATAAGGTACTAAGCTGTTAAAGTATAATTTTCCAAAGCTAACATAAAACTCTCTTACACACATGGAAGAAGCATGTGTCAAGACTTGAACTGACTCATTACTAAATAATCATTGCAATAGTAACTGATTCAAAGTGCATTTGAAGCTGACATGCCCTAAATGGTGAATTCTATGGAATATTTAAATAACAGTTCATACCAATTCTTCACAAATATTTCCAAAATTAGTTACAGAGTTATCTTCCTATTGAACAAAACTAAATTGCATCTCTACTGTATCCACATTTATAAATTAAGATGTAAAAATCACAGTCTGAACTTTTAATTACTATTAAATAGCAGTCAACCACTGGTTATTTTTCTTAGAAAAATTAAATAACACTTAGGTATCATCTGTATTTATTTATTTTTTAAAATAGTAATGATAGCCCTGGCTGGTTTGGCTCAGCAGTTAGAGTGTCAGCCTGCAGACCAAAGAGCCACAGGTTAAATTCCAGTCTAGGGCACATACCTCGGTTACAGTTCGTCCCTGGCCAATGTGTCTCTCTCATGTCAATATTTCTTTCTCTTTCTCTCTCCCCCCCCCCCCACTCCCTCTCTCCCACTCTATCTGAGATAAATGGAAAAATATCCTCAGGTGAAGATTTTTTTAAAAAATAGTATGATAACAGTAAATGATACAAACTTATTTATTCAGTCTTATTTTCTGGTTTTGAATAATTTTACTTTATAATAGTCATGATAAACAATTACTAACTTAAAATTATTTGGCCTATTCCTAAGCAAACATCCTTATTTCCAGCTTAAATATATTAAGCCCCTCACTCAGCACCCACAACTAAACAGTTAATCAATCCTGGAAAAAATCTCAAAGTTATCGTCAGAATTCTTTCCTCTTCTCACTTGACACCTCAGGAACTTTTGACATGATTGATTAACAAATACTTACTGACTGATTCACTGACTCAAAAAACCCTTCGTATAATGGAAAGTGTTCTTGTAATACAAAACACTAGCATGGACAGGAATGCCAACTGCACATCAGTTTTCAGGATATTCGGGGGGAAGAGCATAGGAAGAAATAATCTATTTAAATACCTAAGGGTCTTTCCACAAGAACATTGTTGTTGTATGAGCCCCAAATTAAGTTTCAAGACTGCACATAAGATTATGACAAATGAAGAAAGATACATGTTTTTTAAAAGTGCAAGAAATAAAGCATACACAGCTACACGTATGGCTCAGAACTTGCGATCGCTGTCCAACAGCAACGACAGCACATCACTGACAAAACTGTTCAGTGCTTCTCACCACTCCCATGACTCCAAGGCTCATTTTTACACCAAAATAAATGTGTAGGAGGCTATAAAAAATTTAAAATTAGTAAGGATTACTGAATACTTCGTAAATAAAAAGCACCGTGGCAACTTTTTTGAAACATCAGCTACATGCTCCCTGACATCAAGATGCTTTGGCACCAGAGTAAGAAGTCCTACTCTGCTGAGGGCTACAATCAGCTTAGAATGGGTGCAGTGGAAATGACCCTGGGTGACAGACTGAGATGAGAGAGCACATTATACAACACTTTCAGTACAAGCATGTGCACAGATATTCAAGCATGTTCAGAAAACATCTTGGCGTAATAACCTGGCAATCTGGCTACATTAGCTCATTCCCTCTCTCAGGAAATAATGATTAAAAGACACAGTTGAAAAAAAAAGTGCTTGGAGCTCATTATGGAGAATCTCGAC